CCACCTGTTCATCACACTGTTTTATGACAGGTGGCTTGAACTAAAACCTGTGTTGCTACTTGCTAGAGCTTTGACAAGGTTAAACTCCGAATTAATCACGCGTCGGAATATTTGTCAGTCAATCCTCGTGTCTCTTCTTCAGATTCGGCAGGAACAAATAATCAATTTCTATGCCAATTGCAATGGTATCGGGTTCATTTTGTTATTACAAAATAGGCAATATAAAAGCATACAGAATATTTGGTTTTGAGTTAATATTAATAATAGCAAAGGCAGCATATACAAATTTACAATGTAAACTTACCTATGAGACTACTAAAATTTTAGGACTGCTTAATAACTATTAATCCTAACCTCACCCGAAGCTACAAAATACTACTAGTAGTAGTGAACTGTAGTATGAAATACTTCAGCATTAACCTTAGCTCTTTAGGGTGATTTACTAGGAACCTTCCTCATTCTTGCAAATCCCAACGCCGTGGGAAACTGTGCACATAAACAGTTGGACTCTGTTTATTTGTGGTATGCCTATTAAATCCCATGTAATTACAGCACAGTCAGTTTACTAGTGCAGTACTCATCCTAACATATTCCAACAAACCCTGGTGTTGGAGTTTGGCTGGTTGGGGATCATTAGGGTTAATTAAAGTGTGCACAACACTCATAGTATTCTGTAGTATTCCTTCCTCCATGGTAGTACTCAGTTCTTTATCCCAAAGTTATGGCTAGGACGTCAGGGTTAACAGTCAACACTATCTTTTCACAAAAACAGAAATTCTGTTGTTTCTGATGACATGAGACATCATAAACAGATGGACAGAAGCTCTTGAAGTAAATTGTGTTGTGGTCACTCGAAGCAAACTTTGATGAGAAATGAAAGCCACCCAAAAAAAATGGACACTGTTTGCTTATTACACGCCTCACAGTGCCCCTCTTCATAAATAAAGGGGCTTTTTGTTTTGGGGTTTTGAAAATCAAAATTTAGGTTTTTGAAGGTTTTGCAGGCATTTGTAGATTTTAGGATGCAAAACCATGCAATGTTCAGCATGTGGTAGCAAGTTCTCCACACTAGATAAGGTTACAATTTTCATGCAAACTGCCAAATTTGGAAACACTTCTAGGAACATCTCAGACAGGTATGTGTAGGCCTATAAATAATGACAAGGTGGTTATTTTGGAATTATGATAACTAAGCTGTGGGACAAATTTCCTTTAAAAATTGTCGAAATGTTTGCTAGAATAAAAATACAGTATAGGTTTTTGTAGGTTATATAGGTTAGACCAAAATTTAAAAAAAATACTTCTGCTCCGGTTTCCCTACCTACCGGTACCCTATTGTGAGAGCCCCATCCCTAAATGTTTTTATTGGAAAAATGAGGGGAAAAAACACCCAAAACCATCAATTTTCACCTCTTACCCTTGAGTAAATGCAGACGCCTTCATATGATCATACGCACAAAAATTTGCCAAAAAATAAATTCCCCTACCTACCTTCCCTAATCGGAAGCAGATGTATTTTTTTCTGGCCTTGCTTTAAAAATAGGCTCCTAAGTTGAAATATACCGGTAGGTGTTTAACTTTATAGGTTTTAAAGATTTTGCCGTGAGGCCTACTTAAATTTCAGGTACACCTACCTACAAATACATTTAGCCGACTGTGAAGAACAACCATGCGCACACATCTCCCACAATATGTTGCTCGAGACTCAAACCACAACTGCTCGCGAGCACACTCAAATTACTTCTGATCGGCCACTCGGCGCAGCGTTTCTCATTTGGCTGGCTATTGTCCGGTGATTCTGCACGCCACGCCGTGCCAATTAGAGCATTCAGCGTCCAGTGCAGTGATGTAATCAGTGGACATATTACTGGTAGTAGTTGGGGTATTAATAATATCTGTCCAATTCAACCTTTGCTGGGGAACAATAATTATTGAGACCAAGGCCGGCTTATGATTAACATACAGATGATGTCGCTGTCGAGCTTATCACGCAAGGCACCTACCAAGAGGTGACAAACAAGCATCCCGGGACAAAGGAAGAGTACAATTTTTTGTTGCATTCTGAATGAAAAAAGTTTCCGGCTGAAATATCACAGCAAAACTTGTGAAGCCGAATATTAACTTTTTCAATGGGTGAATACAAATGAAATATATAATATAAATTGAAATTTTTTTTAACAGAAATGAAATTAACTTGGTAATTGGTTTTACGGTATTGAATCTAAAGATAGCGTCTCATTTGACGGTATTACACCTCAGCGTTTTGTTACAACAGATAACGAAAGAGAGCATGTTAAAAAGGAGAAGGGTGACAATGGTTGAACTCTTGGTAAGGTGCAAATCAATGACCTGAATAAAAAAACGATCAAATTGGGACATTTCAGGCAGGAATTTCGGGGGCCTAGGGGCACAATTTAGATAATGAATTATTATTGCTGAGATCACTAAAAAGGTGTGGGTTTACAGTAATTATTTCATTTATTAAAGTATTTCTGGTAATGAGACCAAGTGTGTACGGACATCAAAGAGGGACCGGCACTGTTGTATGAAAGAATAAAAAAAACACACCTTGATAATGAAAAGGATAAACTAATAGTAATCTATCTTTTTAGACGTGGGTGGGGGGGAAAAAGGTTCAGAATGCAAAGTTTTGACATTTTTGAAATTTTGATAAAGTTTGTGTCAATATCTTTTAAGTTGAGAGCCAGTTTCAACTGAATGCAAGGTCTCGCAAGAACTATTGTTGAGCAATGGTTTAACCATAGTTTGACTAAAAATGGCCCAAACTCTGTCTAGTCGACGATGGTTGACTACGCTTATCGACTATTTGGAACCAGCCTACCGGGGCTGGTCGCGCAACGATTTATAGCTGGTTATCAATAGCAATTTCCCTAGCATAGTGCAGAGGGGACCAAGTATCAACAAAAATGGTGGAAAACGAAACTGTGAGCGCTAAATTTCATTTTCATTGCACAGTTTTTCCATGTTAGCTTACGATTCTGTCACTTTTGTCACCATTGTAGAATATTTTATGTAAGATGTCCTAAACTACGTATGTTTACACCATTATTGTGTAAATAAAGAGAAACAACAAGAGTTGAATAATTGTGCGACCATCATTTTCTGACGGTCGTTAACACGACAATAGTTTGACTAAAGTCGTTCGCTATTCAACTTCAGTGCGCATGCGCTAGATATGTCACAAACCAACCACTAGTCCTTGCTCAAACTGGCCCCAAGTTTATGCAGACTTTTCAACAGACAACTTACAATGTGTATTCCAGTGGCTACATGACAATCCAAGTCGTAAAGAATAGGGTTGCTAGGCAGGTCTGAAGACCAGGCATGTCTATTCTCTTGACCTCTGACACGGAGCGGTTTCAACCTAGCAACCAGAAAAACTGTTCACCTTTGTTTATTTCAGGCCATAAATATCAAATCAGGTGCCCTTTTTTATTGGTGTTAGGAGACAAAGTCCAGATTTGTAGGTCTGACTATTATGCGTTTAACATGCTAGGCTTACCAAATCTCGAAGTCGATTAAGTTTTGTTGCACATTGGAAAGCTGAATAAGTTTCACTTTCAATTTAAAAGACTTGCTGGAATTTCTTTATTTCCCGAATTTTTGTGTGAACATAATCAAGATTAGGAGCCACTTATAATAAAGATTGAAATCAAACAGAATAATAAAAAAAAACACGATCCGAGAGGTTGAGCCAGTGTGGGTTATAAATCATATAAACATGTTGAAATGGTACTGTCAGAGTTTTTGCGATATTTAAGAAGTCGGAATTCTCCAAAAGAAGGCAAACAAACAAACTGAAGATGACACTCACTGTATACAACTGCTCAAGTTAAGTGCTCAGTACCACATTTTCCCATCATGTTTGTTTATGACTTGTTGAAAAAAAATATACAATGTATACAAATGTATACATTTACCATGTATACAAATGTATACATGTACCATAGGCTACACCATATGGGCAGATGTAAAGGCAGATAATTTATGTGCAGTAGGTCCTACATGCAAACATACATGTGACTACTATAACTCCACCTGTCTTTTTCGTCACAATTCAATTGACTAGCTTCTGAAGACTGAATGACTTGTGATTATCTTGTGATGATTGACTTTTGTGATGGACTTAATGAGGACGTGATGGACTTGACGACACAACTAGTGTGACAGCATTGTGCATGCACTTTCCAAATTAGATTTTACACAAAGAACAATAGTTTTAAAATAGTACACGTTTGAGAACGAATGGTGAATCTGGATAACATTCAATGTAAATCTATAAATATACACTGTAGGCTACACATATCGGTACACACAAGTGTGTATACAACTGCAATTGTGGACCTCCTTCGTCCTTTTTTTGTTTGTACTTTAACTATTTTAGCAACAGCTCTCGTTGGTTTTGTACACGAATCTCAATCGGGACTTTTTGTCAATCGTGGACCCTATTGTCCTCTATTGTTCAAGGTCCATGATTTGAATGCTATGCATGTTCACATGTATGTGTAGACATAGTCCTAGCTAGAATCATACTGTACCTAATAATATTGTTATTTCAGTCCCTAATATTTTTTAAAAACTGTAAAAAGAGGATACATAAAAATCGTTTTTCCCCAATGGACCATGACCACCAGCTTACTGGATTTTTCAAACATGTCAAATTGGTTAAGATTCCGGAGTTGTTTGTTCATGTAGGCCTATACATTACTTTTCCTATTATATTCCCAGCAAGGGGTCCAGAAGTAGAAACAGATGGAAACAACAAAGGACCAGACAACAGGAGACTTGGTCGTAATTCACGTTGTGTCTGACAGTACTGACACACTCCCACAGCTTGGGGGAGAAAATGTTTTTAAAAATGAAATGTACTTGATCCTGTTGATTTTTTTCTTACTTTTGTGTGATTCCAATGAATAGATAAGATTTGTCTTGTACATTGTACATAACGGAGTTCAAAAAGGACATACCGGTACTCGTACCTGAGGTTGAGGATCACAATATTCCAATCCATATGTGAAGTTCTAGAAGTCCAACTCTATGTCCACCTGAGAATATACATACATGTAGAACCACTAATTTCCACAAGATGAGCTTGATCTTTTCCGGCACTGAAAATTCTGGTTTAGTACCATTTGCTGTAAGGCCGCTCATCTATATTCCCAACCAACGATAGCTCTAGTCCGTCCTCCAGGGTCCCCCAGAGGGTAGAACGTCTCAAACGCTCCAAACAGATTGCAGTAAAATTAACACTGTGACTGCCATAAGTTCCATAACCATTGTCCTAGTTCACTTCCACTCACAGAAATGACCACCAACTTTACAAGATACTTCCTGTTTACTGTTGGCCCACCAACCATGCGTAGTGCACCATCCACTTGCCCACTCACCCCCCAATCAATGAACACAATCTTGGATTAATCACAAGGGCCAGATTTGCATAGCTCAGTAGCCAATCACGGCTGCCTGTGATATCCTGAGGAAGTGACTGGTTAACTTTGGAATGCCAATAAAATGACCACTATGGGAACAATGTGTGCACCTTGAAAGAACCAGTGGATTCATAGAGCTAGCTCTTAGGACCTGTATCGGAGACAAGAAACTTTAAAGGGAAAGACATTTTATTTATCTATTTATCAGCATTGGTTTCATTTATGACTAAAAGCTTACAGAGAAGTAACATCTGGGCAATTCCACAGAATTATAAAACCTCAATGTGCCAAAACTTCAAATAATCCAATAATCCATGGCCCCAAAAAATACAATTATTTTTTTCATTTTTTCAGGAAATAATTGAAAAGTTTCATATCTCCCTCACAAACTATGTCACATACCTTTTAGTTTCAATATTAGTAACCATGTGAAAATAGCACACGATACTTATAAGATGGAATTTTTGCGTCGGGGTGATATAAATTTAGTTTCAATTACCATGTGAAAATAGCACACGATACTTATAAGATGGAAGTTTTCCCCTTCACTGACATATAAACACTGTATACTCAGTGTGTTACCTCCCGAGCGAAAGTTGGAAAAAAATCACTCGGGTGGGACTCGAACCCACGACCTCCTTTTTTCTAGTGCAGACGTCTTACCACTCCACCACCGAGCTAACAGGATCGATTGGCTGGTTCGAATCTGATGTACATAGCAGCGGGTACCGCATTAACTATTCATAAGATGGAATTTTCTGGATTTCTGGATTCGCCAAGGGCGAATCCAGAAAAGTGGTTCTGGATTCGCCCTTGGCTGTTGACTTTAAAAGGAATCAAGGAATCAAACTGAAGCAGTGTTTAGGGGTAAACCTGGCAAAATGTAAAAACAGTTCTTTCAAACCAACACACAAAAAAAACCATGTACATGTACACTTAATACCTATGTGTGCAACGCTACTAAATCTGTTCGTGAGTCAACATTATTCAACAGTACAGGAGGAGGATAAGATTACTGGGTGCAATGGGACAACACAATGAAGTAAGGCCGTCGACAAAGGGGGGGGGGGGCTTGGGTGAATGAAGGTGATGACTCACTGTTGGTAGGCATTACCTCACAACAAGGTACTGGGGTTAGCAAACGAAAAGAGGAACACAAACTTGTGCACAACAAGCTGTGCTTTGATTATCTGTGGATACAACATGGCATCCACATGATTTCTTCACAAAGCCGATGAGGTCACTATGAAATAATGGCTTGAGGTGATTGATTCAGTACAAGCATGTGGGCACAAAACCTCCTCAGTTGACACCCAGATTTCCTTGTCATTGTCAATTCATTTTCAAATTTGACTCAAAACAAAATGGCAAAATTCAGACACCAATCCGTAAAATCCCTTTTCAATTCGAAAGGGGGAGTGGACTCGGGAAAAAACAAACCAACATTTCGCCCTTAAAAAGTCAACTTATGTTTGCAGTGAACCAAAATGACCAATTTATGTCTTCACTCAGATTTTTATTTAATTCAGGCCAGACAGCCAGCACAAAAAAATTGTGATAACAAATATTGACTCGATGATAACTTATCTGCAAATGTATCATCATATATACAGAGATAATGTACGCCATATAAAGTTTTGTCAGAGGATATCTGTGACGAGTGCACAAAGGTCTGTAATGCGGGAAGTATGCATACATGCCGACAGTCCCTCCTTCTCTGGCTGTCAAATTCAACACAGCTATCCCAGTTGTCAAAATCAATCAAGTGACTGTGTTTACCAGTTAAAGAGTTCCGGGCCTACACAAAGCAGGATTGACTGGCTGTGACTGTTTGTAACTTGATAGAGCTTTACCTTGACAGTCGGTGATTGATAAGCCAGCTGTACCTACATACATGTACAAGTTACTTGCTTTTGTCCATTGATGGAATGTGACTAGTCACAGTGCTTGCTATGAGTATGAATTCTGACTGTTGGTGACTAGCCTGTGTAGAAAGGCGTGGTAGGGGAATAGGATAGATTTTTTTGACTGTCTGTGACTGTTCATGTATTACGCGAATGTCATTGTTGCATAATATATGTTGTGTTGTTTCACACTGCACAAGGTGAGGGACTTTCAAACATCTTATTGATCTACTGCACAGAATTTCACAGATTTCAAAATGTGGCTTTGCTATACAAAATTTCAGAAAATTGCATAATAAGTGTACACGCTATGCAATTTTGTTTACAGAAAAAAAACCCTCTGTGGTAAGGAATAACAGACCTTTCACAAAGGAGGAGTGTCAACAGGCATGGGAGGGGGGATGGCATCAAGGATGCATGAATCCCATAGGACCATGTGGGATTGAAATACTGCCCATGTGACAAAAAGAGAGAGTTAATCTATGGGTTCCAACCAAACCAACCCTTCAATTCTGTCTGGTGCAAAAAAGACCTTCAGTAGTGTTAAGCTGACCTTGCAATGAACATGTGAAGTACATGTACGATTGTACATTTACACACGTGTACTGGTGTACACATCAGTGTTGTACTGGTACTCGGAACTCGTACTCGAGCACTACTCGAGTACTTTTTTAAGAGTACTCGTACTCATACTCGTACTCGAATGTCAAGGTACTCATACTCGAAATGACGGAACTCGTACTCGGGCAGCAAAGTACTCGTACTCGACATGTCGAAATTGTACTCGATCATCAAAGTACTCGTACTCGAACAGCAGTACTCAAAAAAAAAAATGGTATTATAGCTTGACTTACATGTACCACAGCCTTATTTTATCGATATTTTCAGTTTGAAATGGTTGATTGGCTTGCGGAGAAATCGAGGTTTCCTGATTTTCCTCTGTGCACGTCCAGACAAACACATTTAACAGCTAGCCGTGAGTGGGTCTGTATATCGGTCTGACTGGACCTGGGCCAATTACACACAATGATCCATTTGCCCTATGGCCGTATTCGGAAATAAAAGTACTCGTACTTGTACTCGGAATACAAGTACTCATACTCAGAAGTACAAGTACTCCTACTCGTACTCGTATTCGGAAGTACAAGTACTTGTACTCGGAGACCTGTCCTTGTACTCGGAAGTGCAAGTACTTGTACTCGTACTCGGTACTCTAAGTACTCAGCAATACTCTGTACTCGGAAAAAAAGTACTCGACTACAACACTGGTACATATGTTTATAAATATATAGACTGCCAAGACGTACGTACTGTATGTAGTTCTTGCATTGGCTTGGGCAATAAACCGGTACATCTCTTATGTGTACATGTACTTCATTAGTTCACATCACTGAAAAATCTCCCAAACACATAATCCGCGTAACCATACAAAAACCAGGACTCGGTGAGTATTTCAAACACCTGAACAACAAAATGTACACGATGAGCAATGCCTGTTTGGAAAAAAAAGAAATAAAAATCTGTGCAGCAATACATCAAAATGTCCAGGCACAATGGTCCATGGACAATGATCATTGAAATCCTAACACATTCTGTGAGCATTCTGACGTTTTAAGCCTATGGGCATTGTTGTCTAGTCTTTTCACAATTTTTTTCCCCTGGATTTTGCTTGTTGGGAGAAATGTTTCTAAAGAAAGCCTGAATCAATCTGGCACCAAGTAGGGGTCATGATATAATGAAGACTGGGTCTGACAAAGGAGGTCTCGCTAGATTAGCAAAGGATCAGAGCTCAGCCAACCCCTTTCTTAAAAAAAGTTATTCTTTGAAAAATAAAGTGTCAGACAAAAGCTACGACTTAACAATCACGTCACCTCTTCTTTCAGACAGTTTTAACCGAAAATTTGCCTTGATTTTTCACAGTACATGTAATAAAAATTCACCCCAAAAAAATCTTACACGAGAAGTTAAAAAAGATTTTTCTCAAAAAGTCTCATTCAAAAACCTCAAATTTGTGACAATAATCATCAAATTATATTTCTAAATTATATACAATGTATTAACTTCTGAAATTACTTAATTAACCAAAAAAAATGCGTAACCCGGTATGCACATGTAGCATGCATGAATGTCGGTTTTGTCATTTTCTGTATTCTTGATTTGAAGTACACATGTTCCGGTACAGTGTACAATATTGGCTTGAACTGGCTAGAATAATCAAAAAGTAATACGGAATAAGAAAAGTAAAAGCAAAGTCTTTTTCATTGAATATTATCAACAGTTATGGTACTTAAAGTATGAGGAACCAATAATAAAGATGAATGTTAATTTATCAGACAAACATTCGACTTTGGAAGTCAAATACGAAATAATACGAATGGGGAGTCAAATACAAAATAGAGCTTTGGGCATAAAATGATGATCAGAAGTGTGAAGAGCACTTGAACGCTGTTGTATACCCAGCACTTGATATCACTGGACATTACAAAATTTATCTACAGGTATGTAATTGCACGCATGCATTTCATTGTTGGATGAGACCCAATGTGATCTTTAATGAATTAAAGGGAATTTACCACATTTGCAAACATAAAAAAAAACTTACTGGACTGTCAGTGCTTTTTTAACCTGGTGTGCTGTCATTTTCAAAGTTGTATTTTTGTATCAATTTCCAGCGTTTTTTAATACTGCACCAAATTTACCATATTTAGTTAGTCCACATTTTGTTTGCAATCGATTACACACCTATAAATGGGTACAAGCCAGCAAGACTGGTTCCCTGACCAAACAAATGCCGATGTTTATTAATTGCTCCGTTTCATCTTCAGAATCAGACTACAGGAACATGAGTGTTTTTCTTGGTTTTTCCGGCATCTACAAACACAAAACTTCAAACCAGTCAGTGTAACGATATTTGCTATAAAATACTGACCCCCAAATCCATCCAATTCTGAAAATTACAGCTAAAGCAAAATGTTATGCATAAGATGTACATTCCCTTTACATTGTACACTACACTTATCAAATCT